AGCAGGATGAAACCCGCTGACCTCAGCGGGATTACGTGCATGAATCAGAGCAGCAGGCCTGGGCTCGGAGCTGAAACCCAGCACTGGGCAGGCCGCCAGCATCAGGCCCAGGGTCCACTTAGGCTCCACTTAAGCCCTATGGGATGCAAGTGGTACGCAGGCCTGTGGATGTGAGTGGTGAACGAGCCTTGTGCTGGGCCTCTGCTGAAGGATGAATTTCAGCCTGGCTTCTTAACTTCATGGGCGCAAACGTGCAACAACGGTTTCTGAAGCAAGGAGCAAAGATGCTCCCAGAAAGCCTGTGGGGTGTTCTCTAGCAAAGGGCTGGTATACGTATGCCTGCAGCAGCGTCCTCCTTCTGCTGGACAGGGAACCCTCTCATGAGCATGAGCAGTAACTGTGATTTATGACAGCTTCTACTCCAGAGGAAGAAGTGTTTTGCTACCCTCTGCACATCCACAGTCATGAGGTTGTGTTGTGCAGCAGGGTGGCTCTGTGAAGCCTGGATATCCTCTGTGCACAAGAGATGCCACATAAAAGCAGGCAGAAGGAGGTCCTTGGCACTGGCTTTTCCTATCCTGCATTGCCTTAGATGTAGGATGACCTTACCTGCTCCTGCAAGTTGGCTCTCACAGATCAGTGAGCCTCAGTTTCAGAAGCCCATTAGGCACTGAAATCAAAGGCAGTCTTCCCTTTGGTGTCCAAGTTTACTGAGTTCCCCTTGCTGTAATGGCCAGCACCTTTGCATGTGCTGCTCCTGTGTCCCAAAGTGCTGACCAATGAATGTTGCACGCAGCTACTGGTATCCCCCAAGCTTCTACCTTGAAAACATATGTGTTTCTCAGTATGCTAAAGAGTCTGGTTCTGACCCTCACAAAACACATTTCTCATCGCGACTTTATTTTGGGACATATTTCCAAGCCATACATCCCTGCAAGAACTGTGAAGCAAAAGTAAATCAGCAAATGCCAGTGGAGCAAGAAAGTACTGCAGTGTATTTCTCGAGAAAATGGACATTAGTTGGCTGGTTCTCGGCCAAGCCAAGCAAGGTGGTTCTCAGGATCCAGAGAGGTGGAGGCAGGTGTGAAGTGGCAGACCCAAAGGGGCAGGACAGTCTAGGCACTGCCTGGGCACGGAGGGTACAGAGCAGTGGGAGACAGCCTGTTGCTGGGCGAGAATGCAGCAGCCCTTGCCTGGACCTGGCTCTGCCGCCTGCAGAAGCCCTCTGCTCTCCTGAGGAATACAGATAACGTTTCTTTTCAGAATTGTGAAAAAGCGTCATTCCTGTGCAAGTGGCAAGGCAGGGATAAAAGCCATCCTTTCTCCCGGGAGATGTGACCGGGATGGTGGACTAAAGGAGGGCGTCCGGGTCGGGAGCTGCCGGCGGAGCCACTCCGTGTTCGCTCCTCCCGGAGCCCCCCAGGCGCGCCCGCTTGCACCGTGCGGGGCGCCGAAGCTGGGTGCGGGAGAGCCAGAGCCGGGAGCGGGCGGAGCGCGGTGCCGTGCCGTGCGGGACCGGGCGGGCCCACTGCTGGCAGGTGACCGCGGCGTGCGAGGCCGGTGCGGGCCTGGACGGGCACGTCCCCACCTGCGGCCCCGGCGGGGGTTTGTTTTTGCCCTGGGACCGCCGCCTCTCCGCGTCGCGTCGCCGGCCCCGCCGTGCGGGGGCGTCCCCGGCGCGCTGCGGTTCTCACATAAATCAGGACCGAGCTCCTGGGAAAGGGCCATCCTTCACCGGGCGCTGCTGACAGAGAACGAGAACCAGACGGGCCCTGAGATAAACCACGGCGCGCAGCGTTTACACAAGGGCAGGCTCTGTGTAAATAGAGCCGGGCGCGGGGGGCAGCTCCCGGCGGCGCGGGTCCGCTCCGGCTGCGGCCCCAGCCCGCGGGCCGCCGGGCTCCCGGGGCGGCGGGCAGGTGACTACCGCCCGCCCAGCGCCTTCCGCCGCCGCGCCGCCGTCCCCCGTTGGCTCCCTGAGCACCGGGGCTGGAGACAGGGCCGGATTAGTGTGTTTGTTTGTTTACGGCCATTAGCGCGGGGCCGGCTCCAGCACTCCGCACCCGCGAGACTAATGGAGCAATTAGCAGCCCCGGGACTGATAGCATCGCCCCGAGCGAGGCCCCCGGCCGCGGCCGCTGCTACCGGGCTGCCTGCGCCCGGCGCCCTGGGTCGGGCATGGGCTGCCCGCCCGCCGCGATGTGCGCGGCCGCTGCAGGGCTGCTGCTCGCTCCCCGGGCCCGGGGGGGCTCTTGGCTCTCTTGGCTCCTCTGCAGCATCCGCAAGGCAAGCTCCATCCATTACAATAATCCCCTGTCTAAACAGAGCGCAGGAACGGCCGGGACAACAAGACCGCGCTGTAAACAGAGCTCAGGGGACGCCGCTAATGATATAAATAAAATAACCATTAATAGCCCTGTGACCCCAGCCCAGCCGGTTTGGGAAAGCCCCGGAGCCGACACCCGCCGGCAGGTACCGGGGCTGCCCCGCTTCTTCCCGTCCCTGTCTTTTGCACAGCGGCACTCCTCGTCTCGGTCCGGTCGTGCTCCTTGGCGCCAGCCGCCCGCTACGGGCATTGTCGGGCCCGACCGTCTCCCCAGTTCCCAGCTGCAAACTCGCCGCCGACCCGTCTCCACCAAAGGGGGGATGCTGGCTGGCATGGCGGGAAGGTGCTGGCTCGGTTACCGCACCGGGAGCACCGGCGGGTGATGAGGCGGCCGCAGGAAAGGCCAGGGTAACACGGGGTGCTCCCAGGCCTGTCGGGGCCCGGCCGCGGCTTGCTCCCTCCGCGGGGCCTGGGTTCTTCGAGCAGTCCGTGTGGCCGGCAGCGGCACAAATGAGCGGGTCTCAGCGGGAGAACCACTCGCACCGCCGGGGAGACGTCCAGAAGCGTCGTTTCTGCCTGGGTCGGGCTCCCGGAGCCCGTAGGCCGCGCCTGGCGATCGGCCTGGCGATCCCTTGTCCGGGATCCGGCTGCGGGTGGGAAGGGCGATGGCGCCAGGCGACCCAGAGCCGGCCGGGGCCGCGCCCTCGGCACAGAGCTGCTTCTCCCGCAGACGGCCGGCCAGGCGGACATCGACTGTGGCCCGCCGGCAGTCCTTAATGCCGCCAGCACCGAGGGCACCGGACCCTGACGCTGCTCTCCCCGCCGCTGGGCTCCCGGGGAGAGCGGTGCCGTGCAGAGCCCTGCCCTCGCCGCGCGGCCGCCGGGCCCCGGGCCCCGAGGCTGGCGGGAGCGGCCCGGGACGGTGGCGGATGTGTAACACCGATAAGGAGCTAATTGTTACTAATTGTTTTCGGGGCCCCGGCAGCGAGTCAGCGCCGGGCTTCTCCGCGCACCGGCGGCGTGAGGCAGAGTGGAGCCCCGGTCAGGCCTGGTTACTGCGAACGCCCTTCCCCGTCCACCGTCCGGGCAGCAGGAGAGCGTCCTGCACCGGGAGCGGGCGGGGAGCGGCGAGAAGAAACTGAATCGCCGTGATTTACGGCGAGAGGTCTGAAGCGGCGCGGGGGCAACGGTCCACTGCGCCGGGGGAACGGGAACGGGCTCCGCCGCGGGACCGGTAGCACACGAGCTGCGGCGAAGTGTGCAAGACTCGGGCTCCCGTCCCGGGCTGCGCCACCAGTAAATGGGTGTGCGGGAAGACGAAGAAAGGAGGGCACCGACAGAGCCGGTAAACGGCGCAGCTGCCGGACGGTAACAACACAAGGGAAGCTCCCGGGAAGCTCCCGCGAAGCCGCGGCGCCGGGACACTCACCTGCCCGGCGTACGCGCCTGGCGTACGCGCCCGGCTCCGGTGGCCTCCCCTCGGCGCCGATCCGAGCCCTGCGGGGCGGCAGGATTTTAATCAAAACGAAAAATCTCACCAGGGACTCCCTGCCCCTCCTTCGGTGCGCCCGCTCCCCGCGCCGCGGCAGCCCGGAGCCCTTGGAGGGCACCGGAGGCCGCGGAGAGCGCCGAGAGGCCGCGACGCCCCGCACCGCACCGCGGGGCTCGGCCGGTGCCCGGCGCAGCCCTGCGGCCGGGGGACCCGCAGTGCGGAGGAGCTCGGCAAGCTCATTCGGTGCGTCACCCGCCGGCACAGGGGCGAGATGGCTCCGCGGAGCCGCTTGCCGCTCATTACCGCAGGGAGAAACGAAAGAAAATGAAACGAAACGAAAGAAAACGAAAAACAACGAAAGGAAATACCGAAAAACGCGGTATCGCTCTTCCCACCCAGACCCACATTACTGCGGCCTCAGGCTGCCCGCCCGGCTCGGCCCGGTCCGCCCCGACTGGGCCTGGCGAGTGCGGGGCCCGATCCGGCGGCGGCGGCGAAGCGCGCTTTGCCCTGTGCGAACGGGTGTCGCACCGGCCGCGGTGAGCTGGGGCGGCCTGCAGGTTGGCCGGTCGCCGGAGGGTCTGCGGGGGCACCGGGAAATGCGGAGTGGGTCGGCTACGTGTACGTCGCATGGCTACGGTCCGTCCGGGACGGCGGGGTCGCCGCCGGCTCCGGAAGGGGTGCGGGGCGGCAGAGGTGAACCTCGCCTTCGCGCCGCATCCTGAGCGGCGGGACGCACTTGCGGGGCCAGGCGGGCGGCCGTGCTGGTGGGCCGGAGAGGTCGGCCCTTCCCGGCACCGGACCGAACCGTGTGCCAGCGGGGCGCGCCGGGGCGGGGGTCCCTACCTACCTACACGTGCTTAGCACTGGGGGGCGCGGCGGCCGCGGCTCTCTGCGGGAACCCCGACCCCGACGCACCGTCCCCGCGCCCGCCGGGCGGGTGCCGGGCCGGCGGGGCGCTCTGCGGGGAAGCGGCCTCCCCGAGTGCAGCCTTAATACATTGCTATTTCTGGCCGGGCGGCCGGAGCCGGGCAGGGGGCCGGCTCTGCCTCCCCCTCCCTCCAATGGCGAGGCCGCCCCCGGCCCCTCCTTGCCGTGACGTGCCGGCCCGGGGCAGAGGAGGCTCCCGAGCCCTTGGCTGTCCCTGCAGAAGCTGTAACAAAACGCAGACCCCCAGCGCCGAGCTAATGGAGGCAACTTAGACAGGAGCAGGCGCGGCCCCTCGTCTCTCGGCGCTGCCCGCTCCCCCCGCACCGGGAGCGGCGCTCCCCGCCGAGCAGCCTCCCGATCGCTGCCGGGCCCGCGGGACTGCCTGGCCGCTTGCGCTGCCCCGATGATGTTACCGAGCCCCGTCACCTCCACACCTTTCTCTGTCAAAGACATCCTCAACCTGGAGCAGCAGCAGGACCCACACTATGGGGCCCAGCTCCCGCACCACCTGGAGCACCACTTCCACCCCGCCGCCTGCCTGCTGGCGGCCGCCGACGGCCCCCGCTTCTCCGACGGCGAGGAGGAAGAGGAGGAGGAGAAGCTCTCCTACCTGAGCCCTATGGCAGCGCCCGGCAGCCAGGCGGACGCGCGGATCTCCGCCGACAACTACGTTCACGCTGTGCTGCGTGGCTCCTGCGAGGCTCCCGGCCCGGGAGAAGAGCTGGACCCCGCGGTCCGCGACCCAAGTGAGTATGGGCTCCGCCGCGCTCCCCCACACTGTACCGCCCCGCCGGGACGGGCCCGCGCTAGCTCGCCGTGGTGAATTCCCAACTCTCTGGGCATCGCACCGCGAAGCCCCGGTCCTGGCGCTGCAGACCGGTCCACGTCCCCTCTCCGTGTCGAGCCGGGACCGGCCCGTCGCGGGGCTGCCACCGCCCTCCTCCGCGCCCGGCTCGCCACCTCCCTGGGTAGTGCCACTGCGGGAAGAGCCTCCGCAAGGCCCCGATCCGGAGCTGCCGGATCAGGCCCGCGCCCCGCAGCTTTGGTAGTGGGGAGGGAGGACCGGGGCGGGTTGGGCCCAACGCGCACCCGCTGCGGCGAGGCCCGGCGGCGGAGCAGGTGCCCGGCGCCGTGCGCGGCGTGTCCCCGGGGCTCACCTTGAGGTGCCGCAGCAGTAACGTGGCAGCCGCCCCGGAGGGGACGTGCCCGGCCCTGCCGCCCAAATCGGGCCCTCGCAAACGCAGGTGGTGTCGGAGGCGACCGGTCCCGGGACTGCCTCCTCACTCGCACGGCGGTGCCCCGACGGGCGCGTAGCGGCTCGGGGTCGGCCGGGGCGCGGCGCGGAGCTCTCGCCCGCGGGTGGGGCCCGGCGGGAGCAGCGAGCGCCCGGCGTCTGCGAGGCGCAGTCGTGACCTGTGCTCCCCCGTGCAGAGAGCTGCGTCCTGAAGAAGCCGCTGGACGCGACGGAGAAAACGGAGGAGGCAGAGAGGCCGAAGCAGCGGAGCCGGAGGAAGCCGCGCGTCCTCTTCTCTCAGGCTCAGGTCTTCGAGCTGGAGCGTCGGTTCAAGCAGCAGCGTTACCTGTCAGCGCCCGAGCGGGAGCACCTGGCCAGCAGCCTGAAGCTCACCTCCACGCAGGTGAAGATCTGGTTCCAGAACCGGCGCTACAAGTGCAAGCGGCAGCGCCAGGACAAGTCGCTGGAGCTGGGCGGCCCCGCGGCCCCGCCGCCGCCGCGCAGGGTGGCCGTGCCCGTGCTGGTCCGCGACGGCAAGCCGTGCCTCGGTGGGTCGCAGGGCTACAGCTCGGCGTACAACGGGCCCTACTCCTACAATGGCTTCCCCGCCTACGGCTATGGCAACGCCGCCTCCTACAACCCCGGCTACGGCTGCACCTACCCGGCAGGCACCGGCGGCGCCTCCATGCAAGCCGCCTGCAGCCCGGCGGCGGCCGCCGGCCCCTTCGTGAACGTGGGCGGCCTGGGGGGCTTCAGCGGCGGCGGCCAGCCGCTGCACCAGGCGGCGGCGGGGCCGTCCTGCGGCCAGGGAGCACTGCAGGGCATTCGGGCCTGGTAGCCCGCACGCACTGAGGGTCGGGAGCGGACCGACAGGACGGCCTAGCGGCTCCGGGGCCCCGTTATCACCCGCACCGCAGCCCGGCTGCGCGCCGCGCACCCTGGACCGGAGGCGGCGGCGGGACGGCGCAGCGGCACCCCGGCTCTCCCGCGGGCATCGGTGCGGGGCCTGCGACGGACGGAGCGAAGCGGCGCGGCAGGACGGGTCCTCCCGAGCCCGCAGCGAAGCGCTGCCGCACCGCGGAGCCGCCGGGACGGACGGCCGGACGGCCGAGCCGGGCGGGCCGGAGCCGATCGTGCCGCGCTAGCGGAGCAGCTTTGCTTGTAAAAAGCCGACGGCGGGGCCCGGTGGTGCCGCGGCCCCTCTATCTACTTTGTATCGGTCACTGCCAGCGCCAGCTCGCCCAGTCAGTCAATAAACCAGGTGCAATATTCGCCACCCGATCCTCCTTCGCCCACCAGTCGGTGCCCGGTGGCGGGACGGTCGCCGCGTCGTGCCCACGGGGCAGGGCGGCCCGACCGGCTTGTGAGCGTGCCAAGGGCGCTGAATGGGGCCGCGCAGCTCAGAGCCGGGCCCATTGTGGCCGCCGGGCCGGCGCTGAAAGGAGCCGCCGAGGAAGGTAGCGGGAATAGGCGCTTATTGGATTCGGGAACAAAAGGTGTGGCAGGGAGGCGAGGGACAAAGGGGCCCCGGCGCCGAGATTGACGGGCCGCTTTGCCCCCCACTGAGGCCCAGGCCCGGCGCTTTATGCGCGGGGGCTGCAGAAACGTGCTAGGTTTTGTTCCCCTTTCTGGGAGCGCAGGGGAAGAGGAGGGGGGTCCGCGGGCCGCTGATTAGGGCCGGCCGGGCCGGGCAGTCTGAATGCCGGGGCATTATTGCTACATGTTCAGCCATTTCGCTCGATTGCAGGGGGAGGGGGCGGCCGAGGCCCCCGAGCCCCGCGGGACCGGCCGCGGGGTCGCCCACCCGCCAGCCCCGTCCCGAGCCGGCCCGTCCCGTCGCCGCTGCCGCGGCGCTCTCGGGGCGGTCGCGGCCCCACTGCCGCGGCTCCGCCTGTGCCGTGCGGGTCCCACCGAGCCCCGCCGCCGGGGCCGGAGGCCGTTGGAGAGGGCCGGACACCCGCAGAGCCCCGTCTGGCTCACCGCGGGCGGCAACGGGGACCAGGGGCGCCGGGAGCTCTCCCGTGCCGTCCCGCACATCTGCCCGGCGGCGACGCTGGATCTCCAGAGGTGTTTCCAGCGGAGCCTTCTTGAAGCCGCCGGCACGATTGCAGACCCGGGGCTCAATATGCTACTCCTGTTACCCAGAGCTGCCCACCGTGACGTCCCCTCGACCTCCTCCCTGTGTGTTGTGTGACAGTCCCTCTGCCACGAGCAGAGGACCAGGCTGCCTCGCAGAAGCTGCAGGTAACGACGGTTCACGCTACTAAACCCGGGTTTACGCTGCACATTCCCACCATTCAATCAGGACGTGCACCCTTGGGGTTTGCTGTTTGACGGGAACCGGAGAAATTCTTTCCAGTGCAGCACTGCAGGGACAGAGTGGGCAACCAGCAGGCCCCGGAGCCCGTCTCGGCACGGCACCCCGCTGTCCCACGAGCTACCCCGAGGCCGGCAGGCTCCACGGGGCCGGCGCTGGGAGAGGATGCGGCACACCCAGCTGATTGTTTGCTGGATGGCAGTAAGGTGTCACAGGAGAGGAAGCCCAGGCCCCACTCTTGGCTTTAGGAGATGAGTGGTTAGGGCCTTGTGGTCTCGTGGGTAGAAACAGGATAGCCAAGAACAAAGGTAATGCGCTCTCTTTGCAGCAGCAGTCAGGCTGAGGAGATTTGTCTCTGCCATAGGAAAGAGTTGCATTTTCCTCCATGTTCTGCCAGACTGTTGTCTATAAAGATAAGGGACCCATGTGAGTTCATGTCTTGGTGTGCAAGTCAGAGGAACTGCAACCACAATAGAAGCTCCTCCAAAATCAGGGTGTTGGAGAGGAGTTCCCAGCTTAACACATCATCTCAAAGTATTTGGCAGCTGGTTAGAAATCCAGTGCATCTCAGCAGCGCACAGAGGCTCAGGATGAGACCAGAGCCCTGGTGTGGGACATGCTGCCCGTGTGTGTAGTCACAGTCTCTAGAGTATGGGCAGTTAGGCAAAGGGAAGGGGCACACAGAGACCCCACAACTATGTAGCAAGAGGCGATGCTGGGCAGTACCAGCATTTTCCAGCACCAGCAGTATCCATTATTGCCATAGCTGTGAGGTCAGTATTGTGCTCACCCCACTTGTGCCTGGTCACAACCCTAGTCCTGTTCTCCCTGTGCAGAGCTGGAACAGTGCCCAGCTGGGGGATGCTGGGAGGCCTGACTGCAGGCTGATGTGGCATGGCAGTGGAAGTTTCTAGATGTCCACCATAGCGAGCCCCATTCCTGGGACAGATCCCAGCTGTCCCACCAGCTCAGACTGGGGGAAGGGCAAGGGCTAAGTGGGAGGGACCCCTCTGCAGAGCCTCACCCAGAGCCCCTGAGCTGATGGGGAGTACAAAGTGGCACAAAGAGCCAGCGGTACTGGAGGACCTGGAGTAGGGCGGCAGAAACGAAGTACTCCAAAGAGGAGGAACAGCTGGTGGAGGTCAGTGGGAGGGAGATGGTGGGAGATCGCAGATTGGACAGGCTGCCCAGGGAGGGGAGACACAATGGAGGGAAGTTGCTGCGTGGCTGTGCTGGAGGCAATGCCCGCCTGTAACGTGCCCCACACCCTGGGACAAAGTGGGATGCTGCTCATGGGGTGAGAGGCACCAGGAAATCCCTGGTGGAAATCCCTTCAACATGGTCCCATCCTGTGATGGTGGCATAGCAGAGGGACTTCAGGGAGGGAGAGATGGGGAGGACCATGACCAAGGGGCAGAGGGTGTGTATTTCTTCCTGGTTGATTGGGGGGGTTTACTGCTGTTTGGGAATCAAGATGGAAGTTGCCAATTGATTTCCAAGAGGGATGAGGTTTCTAAGACAGTGCACTAACTTAAAGGAAAGGAGGGACTCTTGGGGTAGCTAGGCTTTAACTCCCAAGCCTCAGACCCACTCTGTGCACAGGCTCCAGTTGTGTTTTTCATTCAAGTTTCCTGGCCAAGGAGGAGCCCATGAGCAGAACTTGTCTCTGTCCAGTGGTTCCTGGGGAGGCTTGATCCAAACCCCAGTTCTGCCTGGTTTTCTGAGGCCTTTCCATCATGCTCAGGATCACACAGGAGCAGTGCTGTTCCTTCCGCAGCACCACAGATATGCTCTGGTTTCCTCTCCTTCCTGTCATCTTTTTCCATTTCTCCCTCCCTGCTGCTGAGGTCATCCCTCCCCCTTATATCCTTCATCCTTCTCTCTTCACCACTCCCTGCCATCAGCAAGGAGCTCACCTGGGCATAGAGGGAGATGGGTGCTCCCAGAGAGGCTGGCCAGGCTGCCCACGGACCTGGGCAGACCTCGCTGAGTTCTGGTCCCATCTACTTCAACCCGGACACAGCCACCTCCTGCTGCCTTGGGCCTGGGAACCTGGGGACCCAGCTGTGTGCTGGGGTGGTGCCCAGCTCTCGCCCCTCTATTTTGGATGATTTTGGAGTGGCAGCTCCTGCTCTGCAGAGCTTCCCACTGCAGCCACTCCATGCCTTGAGCTGGGAGCTGCCAAGGCTGCTTGGCCACCGGGGCTCTGCAGAGCTAAGAGGTCTCAGATGCTGGAAGCTCCTCCTGGCAATGGCAATATGATGTTGTCACACAAGCACTCTCCAGTGCCAAGAAGGCTGTGGCCAGCCATGGATCAGGTAATTAAATTAAAATACTGTACCTGTGCTATGGAGCCTCCAGAGAGGCTTTCTCACACTACTTGTCTGCCAGCACGAGGGCCAGGGACCTACCTCCCTTCCTTGGATGAGTCACTGCATCACAAAGTAACTACACCTGACTAAGTGGGATGATGGGACTCGCATGTTTTAGCCGTTCCTTCTCCCTGCAACGGTGAGACTGGGCACAGTGCTGCCATGAGAGATCCAGGTATCCCACGAGGGATCCACTCTAATCCCACAAGGGATTCAGATGATCCGTCCAGAGAGGGGGCCTGCATCTTTGTCCCCTTTAGAGCAGAGTGCTGCTGAAGGTCAGAGCTGCCCTTGTGGCCTGCCAGAGCCCTTCCCAGCTGCATCATGCCACCGTCCCCCGCCTAGGCAGTAAAACCCACAGGCATTTCCCCAGGGACGACCCTTCTCCGCGCCCAAGGCTGCTGCAGGCAGGCGGTGCCGGGGCCAGCGGGGTCCCGAAGTGCTGCCTGGAATCCTCTGGTCCCCTGGGCTGCCAGCAGGGACAGCTGCTCCCGGGGCCTGTCCCCAAGCGAGATACGCCACCGCCATCTATCGGCCAGCGGCAGGGGACAGGGAGCGACAGGCACCCCTCTGTCCTCGCCATCTCGCGCCGCGGGGGCTCCGCGGCTTATGCTGGCTCGGTTCGGGGGTGCCCGAGTCCCCCTGCAAGGCTTGGAGGGCAGCAGAGCATCCAGGTAGGGTCTCGCCTCCCCGCTGGGAACAGCAGTGGGACAGACTGGACATCGTGAATGCTGGGCTGGTTGTGTGGGCTCTGGACAGACTAGTGTCTCCCCACGGCAGAGCCCAGCGGGAGCTGAGGGTCTCCAGATCCGCGCAGGAGCACTGCTGCACCGGGCAGCACCACCGGGGCTTGTGCACTCAGCAAAAGCAATCACCCACCTGCCCCTACTGCATGGGTGCAGTGGGAGAGCTGGAGACAAGGCTGGTGTCCCCTGCCAGCCTCTAGCCACCATGCAGGCCCCTTTCCAGGGAGCAATGCTTTGCACTGCGTTCTTTTAGCTGAGCACAAGCACCCAGTGTGTCTCTGTGAGATACCCAGCAAATTTCCAGCTCTGATTATCTTCTCTGTCCCAAAGTGGTGCAATTCACCTAGTGCCAGGAGCCCCTCTAAACCTTCTGATGCCCTGGCACTGCCCACAGCTTCCAGCTAATGTTCTGCAAGTTCTTGACCATATGATGGCTGTGGCGTCCAGCACCTGGTGCCTGTCACAGCTGTGTCCTCACCAGAGGGAGCTGTGTCCCACATGAAGACACAGCCCAGTTTTGGCCCAGTTCCCTACCTTTTTTATAGCCCCTGGCAATGCTCCAGGCTCCAAACTGCTCAGGTCTAATGGGCACCCAAAGGTGCCAGGGACAGAGAGGAAGGCTGCTTGGATTTGCATTTCTCCTGGCACCCACCTAGCCATGAAAACGTGGTTGGTCTGTGCCCTGTCAGGAGGCTCTTATGTCATTCCAAATGCCATAGTGTCCTGGGGTGCATTGCAGGGTTTCTCTGGGGCTAATGCTGGCCACCAGTGCAATATCTGGAGGCATGCTAGGTCAAGGAGGTTAAGGCCAGAGCCCCCTCCCACAATCTCCTGG